TAAGTAGAGAATGAAAATTGAAAGTGATATAAAAAAGACAATATACCACGAATTCTTCTATTTCAACATGAATCCCTTTTATATTAGATCTTTCCAATAGCAAACTACCTTAAATCAACATTAGAAATTTATTTTATTTATTGAATAATTCTTATGACATCATAGTTTTTTTCATCAAAATTTTAAATATCACAAGGAAATAAATATAATATATAAGTTTTAATTTTATGATTACTCAAGCGTTACATAGAAACATACATATTTATATTTTGTTGGTTGTATTTATAGGAAACCAATAAATTCTTAAAAAAAAATTATCGTAATTCATCTAAAACTAGAGCACTCTATTATTACTCGATTGCATATGTATATATACTTCGTATACTTTATAAAGTAAAAATACTTTTAGCAATAAATTTTCTTTAGGTATACAGTTTATATTTATATTCATGTATGTTTACATTTAATATAGACACATATGTCACCCACATGCTGTGAGTGACCGCAATTGAAATTTTCTTAAGAAATTTTTATAACTTTAGGAAAACTTTATTTGCTTTTTACAACAATTTTTTTTTTCTTGTTTGCTTTTATTTCTTTTAAATTTTCTTCATTTTATTTTGAAAATTCTTTTTATTTCAAAAAACCAATTGTATGAGTTTTCCAGTTAAATCAAAATACTATATAAAAGCTACCAACTTATGTACATATGCATGCACATATATATGTGTTATAAATGTGTTTTTATATTTCATATAATAATGACATTCGAATAGATAGGAAGCATATATATTATAATAATGCAAACGTACATACATAAAATACACATAATATACATTGTTATAGAGAAATACTTATGAATTGAAATATAGAACAATAATATATTATATGTTAAGGAAGAGGTGTACCGCAAACATATGCATTAATACCTCCTTAATACACCATACATATATATATCTAAATATATACGAACAAACACCTGTATGATGTGCATATTTGAAATTTATCTATGTATATAGAAACTTACGTTTATATCTAAATGTATTTTTATTATAATAGAGAATTTGTAAATTTAAATAAGAATATGTTAAAAATGAGATGGGGATTTGACATAACGTAACATTTTATAAGAATATTCTAATTTGATATTTGTTATCGTCGATTTAAAATAAATTCATATAAAAATAGATAAGAAATAAAAATAAAAGTTTAAGGCATACATATGTATATGTGTGTATGTACGGTTATTAAAATATAATATTCTTCAATTTATTTACATAAAGTTGCATATGTTATTTAAAGTTCATCGAGCTACCTACCTAATAACAAAAACTTCATATTTTAAAAAATTTTCTTGAAAACAAGTGTTTCAAGATATTATAGTATTGCATATTATGTTATTCCACCGTGAGAACATAAATTTTCGGGGTCGGTGAGCCTAATTTGACTCGACTCGATAATTATGATTACAATGTTCAATGTGAAATGTTCAATCTTGTGGAACATACTTGATGATAGTACACGTTTATTTCTCACTTATTTTTATTTCCGTTTCAAATAATTCATTTTATTGTGAAAACAATACTAGTTTTACAATTTCTCTGATCTAATTGCAGAATTTGGCTTGTTCAAAAATTTCAAATCAACTAAAAGCTTAAAATGTTTTTAATTTTTCATAAAATTTATTAAAGTAAACTTTCTACAATAAATTATTTCTCCTTATTATTTAACTATATTTTTAGAACAAATAGGTATTACAAACCTTTCAAAAGTTTGCCGCACAATTTAAACCTCATCATTTTAAATTAGAACCTAAGCAAAATCTTAGATATAAGCAAAATATAATATCAAATTCGATACATAAACATTATAAAATATTGTGGCGGAATTTCAAACATTGTTAGAAATTGTAATACGAGTAGCTAAAGAAAAATTACTTAAAATTATACCAAGTTGGTAACCCAAGATTCTATATTATTATTATATTTAATAATACTATCATATAAAATGATTCGTAAACATCATTGATTATCAATGATAAAAAGAAAAACAAAAAAAAAAGTGAAATTTTCCTTTCACAGAATTTATTATAGTAAAATGCAGATGAGAAATAAATTAAATTTATTTTCATATTTTTTTTTTCTATTTTATCAATATTAGAGCTATGTAGAAAAGTGTTCAGACAGAAAAACTTTTCTTAAGAAAATAAAAAAAATTTTACAATTTTTGATAAAAACAAAAAATTAAAATAAGTACAAAAAAATAAGAATCTTTTTTCCTTTCAAGAAGTATTACGGGTTTTTTAAGTTTCCTTATTACTCCTTATTATTATTTTATTTTGTATGCAAGGATATTATTTATCTTAAAGGAAGAAGTAAGTTAAGAATTTAAAAATAAGGAAGATTTTCAGGTATATGTACATTTATTATGTATATTTAAATTACTCAGGCGTATGTATTTGTAATATTGGGTATATTATAATTAAACCACATTCAAGAAATTCTTAAATTAGTAGGATATAAGTTGAAAATATGAAAAAAATATTGGAATGTGTGAAATATGTATGTCATTGTGGTTTAATAATAACATATTGTATAAAATTTATGGTTATTTTATTATTTTTTTCTAAAAATTTACTAAAATATATATATACATATTTACAAGTGTATATTATGTGAATATACAAATATATAAATATAAATTCTAAATAATTTGATTAATTTTCCATGTATGAACATTATATTACTTAATATTTTAAATATATTTGCATAATACGATAAATAGTGTAAAATATATATTTTACAATTTACGTTCATACAAATATGGTAATTACAATACTATGCTTATATCATATTCAGCGTATTTCATATTCATAAGAGTAAATACTATTATCAAAGAAAATTTAAGTCGTATATTATGTATTTCATATACTCTTACATAATGCATAATATTATTATGTATGTATGTATGATTAATATATGGATATGTTCTATAAAGTTTTAATAGAAAATATTACAAAAATTAATCCAAATTTATATTATCGAATTTTCAATTGAAAGATGAATGCTTTAGGATATTTTAAAAGTAAAATTGAAATAGAAAATTAAAAATATTTCTTAAAAAATAATTAAAATTAAAATTTTCAAAATTTTTGTTTAAAATATGAAATGGTCATTTTTTTAAAATTTACTCTTTTCATTATGAAAAGAAAAATTATGCACTAGAAGCTGCACATATCTAATGTACAAAAATATGAAAGTAAGTTATAAAGAAAATATCAAAAAAATTTTACTATAAATAATTTTCTTTTTTTTTTCAATTTTCTATTACTGAAAAGTTTTTGTTACATTTATATTAATCATTTTTTCTCAAAGCTTATATGGAAGGATACTTTAATTAAAAACACAGTAGAATCCAATACTAAAATATTTTAAAAGATTTCTAATAAAAATTTAATATATACAACAAGAGTTTCTGAAAACACTTTTCATGCATATTTAAATTGTTTTACAAGTAATTCCGACATATTATAACTTTTTTTTAAATTTTGAAAATTGGTAATGTACTGTATTCTTAAGATTTTTCTTAGATGCTTACTAAGATGTTCTGTTTCTATAATACTTTTCGCCCCGCAATCTCATTATGTCATTGTGGCATAAATTGTGATAAAATATTAATGTTTAGCTAAATTTGTTAACTACCCTTAAAGATAACAATTGCTAACTTCTGACCATATAAAATACTAAGCAAATCCGTTCATTATCACATTTAATGTGATCAAAAATGTATAGGTTAGGAAATTTTGTAAAAGCCTACGTCTTATGCACAAAATTAACTCGCATATAAATTTCTCACAAACAAAAATCCCTTTAAAAATTATTTATTTATTTTTTTTCCAGCAGCAAGAAAGGCATTCTTTTTTGATCTCAGCTAGGTTCAGTTTTACATTGTCTTTGAATGTAGAACTCTAAGGTTATACTGCATAATGTTCTGCCAATAAAAACTGACCATACAAGACAAATTAACAATATCCGATTTTTAAATTCGGAAAATGTAATTTAACAATGATTTTTTTTATTATATATAAGTATATAATAAATATATATTAATGAATACGGAAAAATTAGGACACATTAAAAACTTTTACTGTTAAAAAAATTTTCGATCAAATAACTTATAATTTATTTTCTAAAGAAATAATAATTAATAATTGCAAATGAAATTTTTGATTTTCTTAAAAAAATGAATATTTGATAAAATTAGTATGTTTAAATAAGTTTTTTCTTCAAATCATAAATAAGGATAATTGAATTTAATTAGAATACATTTTAAAATCAACAATTTACAAATTAAAATGGAATATTTTTAATTAATTATAAAACTTTAAACAAAAATGGAAATATATAAACTATTCCATTTAACTATTTTTATTTTTTAATTCGAACTTAACTGCAACGCACTACTTGAATCCTAGGCCGGTATTTCACGTTTATCAGGGGATATTTAAGAAAAATTTCCGTATTGGAAATAATTTTGATAGTTACGTTCAAATTTTAATGCTAAATATTTTCATACCAGTTTATATTTGGAATTTAATAATTATTTATTTATTAAGAGAAAGTTATCATAAAATCAAATTTGTTTAAAAAAGATTTACAAATAATTTCTATACAAGTAAATAGTAATTTTTAATATTCTTACCCTTTAGCTACCATAGCAGCAATACAAAAAATTTATAATGTTTAAAAGTAAATCAAAATTTCTCCACAATCAACGAAACTTAAAGAGTTTCTCTTATTAAAAAAAATTTGACTCACAATGCAATTAACTAATTTAAATTGACCTATAATATAACCATAACAGGATAAGTATATAAATCAACAACAGACCTACATAGCATATAAAAAATAATATAATTCAAGTTAAAAATATATTTAAATCATTAAATAAATTGTAATTTTCATTTTTGATAGCCTTTAATTATTTTTATATTGTTGCAGGTTACTTTGCATTTTAATTACTAAATGGAAAACGAAAAATGGCGCAAAAATACTACTCAAAGAAATAAATATTCTGTTCATTTTATATTTTTTTAATTATAAATTACCACAAAAATGGCACAAAAACATTTTTTTTAAAAACAATTTAAATGACGATGCTAATTAAAAAAAAAATATGACACAAAGAAAAAAAAAAATATCAAAAATGAATTTCATGTAAAAAAAAAAATTGTAAAAACTAGATAATTATAAAGTTATAAAGTTAGTCAAAAACAAGCAACAGAGATATAAAAACGTAAAATAAGGATAAAAAATTTTCAACCAGCAACCAATATGTGGCAAGAACAACTCAATATTTTCGCAGTTAAAAGCTCCCAAATAATCAAAAAGTAAAAATAATACAATAAAAAAATGAATTTAGGAATTAATTAAATAAATTGAATTCAATTGTTTAAAAAACAACATAAAAAAATATCCGTAAATTTAAATTAAAAAATAAAATTTAAAATTTATAATTAAAAATTAAAATAGTAAATATTAAATAAGTAAATTCAACTTTAATAATGACTTCGTCAATTTATAATAATTTAGTTACAACAATTAGTGGATTTAAAATATTTTTAAGAATAAATGTCATTGGTTTACTAATATTAATATTTCATAGTTGTGGTAAGTAGATTTTTTATACAAATTATATACATATAATTTTTTTTTTTCATTTATTTGCAGTAACAGATTTTTTAATTAAAAGGAAAAAATAAATAAATAAAAAATCATACAATACTGCAAATAATATATTATAAATTGTGTGTTTCAATTAAATTTACAAAATAAATTTAATTACGAAGAAGGGTAATAATATGAAGAAACCAAAACCAAACTAGTAAAATAAATTTTGTTTAGACTATGCATAAAAATCAATTAAAATTGCATAATTATAGGCGTACATACAGTTTGAGTGATTTATTTTGGAATAAACAAAACAAAGTTACTCATTTCCAAGGTGTTACTCGTTTTATAATTTTTGTATTACACAGAAACTTTATAACTTGCATAAGACTTTAAACAATTAACAGTGTAGATGAGTAAAATTCGTACATAAATTAATAGACATATTATTTTAAATTAAATTAAAAGTAACTTATTTATTATTAAAAATTAAATTTTACATCTACGTAAGCTATAAGATAACCACACAAAATATGTTTGCATTTGCTATATCATTCGAACCAGTTAATATCAATGTTTTCCATTTAATAAGAAGTTAATATCACTGTTTTCCGGAACATTCATTTATTGGATACACTATTACGCAATTTAAGCGGCCATAGAGATATCTAATTTGAATATTTATTTACTACATCGACTGGAAGAAATTTAAATGTAACACTCTGTTTAACATAAACTCAATACACAAATCTAGTATATTTTATCTATCAATCAACAAGTTTAATTTTAATTTACAATAATACATTAAATAATATTTCCGTATTTTTACTCAATTTTCACGATTGATATGGTTTTAATTTTACTTATTTGGTTTCCTTTTTTAACCACATTATGTGGTTTTAACAGCGAACTAAATTATAAAATTACTTCTGTTATTTTAAAACTTCATTAAAACAAATATGTAACTATAATTATACACATTCAATACATATTAGTATGTTATGCTTCATTTTGATTATGTTCATGTGAATATCTTAAAACCAAATATTTTATTTATGTAACTTTAATCGAAAATTGATTTTTTGTGTAACAAAATCAATGAAACATGACTATAATCAAACAGAATAATTATACAAATAATATTATTTAAATTTATGTATATAAGTAGCATAATTAATATAAATACAAAGGTAGAATATTTAAATTGTACATGTACTACTATATGGTGAGGCGATACACGTAAATTTAAAAATTATTGAGTATACGAAAATTTAAATTGAAAATTTCAAAAATATTTTCAAATGCAAAAACTTTTCAATGGGAATTGGATTAATTTTTAATGTGAAGCCTTATAGAAATAAAATTTACATTGTAATGCAACATTACCTTTCTCTTTCAATAATAATCAATACTCAATTAAATTATAAATAAGTTCAGTCTTAGATGTGCGTCAATATAAAGAACATTGTAAACATTTCTAATTTTACACCAGAACGAATTTATCTTTAATAAGCGTGTTACAATCAAAAAAATTATCGTATGAGATAAAAACATTGTTGTCTATGTATTTTATATTCTTGTCTGTAAAGAGTTATGTTTTTCCATCAGATATGCCCCCAAAAAAAAGCCCAAAATCCACCTAGGCTGATAAGAGTTTCACCATTTTCTTATAACATAATAGTAAATGAAAGTAACTTAATTTCAAGACAAATTCTCTCATGTCACTTCTTTTTAACGAATTTCCTAATTTAATGGAATCTAAAAGTAGACTACACCTTTTTTTTAAGAAATATTTATTCCTCGTTAATGTCATTGTTTGACAAATTTTTCGATTTTTCGAAAAATATTTATAGTATTTCAATTTCATGTTAATTGTAATATAGCCAACAAAATACAGAATTTAGAATGGCTTTGGGTTTCTTAAATTCCTAATTGCGTTATAAACTTCATTTAAACTATATACTCGTAAATTATCGAAAATATCAATAAGAGCATATAGTTAATTCACAGCAAAATAATAATAATCAAAATTTGATATTTTTCATATCAAATTAGGTCACAAAATTCAATACCTTACATTTTGCACAAGGATTCACATAATATGCAAACGGTACAAAAGAAGAAATCGCCAGGTTAAAAGTAATCATGTAACATTTAATTCAATAAATATTTTTTTTTCAATTAAATAAAAAATAAAGCAAATCTTCTTGCACAATAAATAATTCAATTTATTGAAATTTTATTAATATTGAAACTGAATTGAAAAAAAAACGAGAAAAAATAGAGTTCACCGCGTCACCTCTGTGATACCCATACGAATTTTTTATTATATGTGCGAATAACTAATGTGCCATAACTAACTATGGAACAGACTATGGATCTTTAGTTGCCGTATTGCCATATTAATTTATGTAAAATTTCAGTACTGTGTTTTTAATATTTTCTAAGATGTGGCCAAACTACTATTGAAGTTGTGTGGCTGTTACAAGAAAGAGCCAACCAATTTCAACGAATTTTATTTATCAAACATATTGGCCCTACTGATATATTCACTTATACGAAATTTTAATACCAAAGCTGTCATAGTTTCTAAGATACAGTCAAATAAATGTTGAAGTTGTATGGCAATTACCTCAATCAGTTCCCCGATCCAATTAAATAGAATTCTGACATTTACTTTTATAAATCATTTATGAAAATTTTGTGAACTTAGCTCAATTTGAGTTATCTTTGGGGCGGACGGACAGACAAATCTAAATCGACTCAGAATTCGGCGCTGATCAAAAACATACACTTGAGTCTATATCTCAGACTATTATTTGTTAGCCTTACAAACGGAAAGGCAAATTTACTATATCCTTCGAACATACATTCGTACGGCTATAAATGTTAATAAGTTAATTTTTAATATAGTACATATATGAATTTTCGTATTTAGTGAAAGAAAAACCGCAATCCAATGGTGAAATCATTTTATTTGTTTATAAAGTACTTTTTCATCCAGTGATTGCATAATTTTCAACTATACAACAGAATAAATCTAATAACGTATATGTTGCAAATTTTCCCTGAATTTTCCGAGTAAAAAAGTAACCACATCAAATGAGTCCCTTTTTTCAAATTTTTTAAAAAATTGTATTTTCAATATTATTTATAACAAAAATTTATTGTAATACACAGTGATTTTGTCGAACCGTTTCCGTACATAATCTGGATTAATCAATAAGTTCTTGCATTATTCGCAATGGATTTAAAAAATATACAAATTCATAGGACCTGCTTGTTGTATAATAGTTAAATTTTATTTAAAATTCCAAAAAATAAAAAAAAAGAAATTAGTTTATGAAACTTTTTAAATAATAAAATAATATTAAAAAATAAATAAAAACTTTACAAAATAAATTTATTTCTCAAATGACCGCCTCCCCCATATATAGTATCTGTTCATTTCGCAATTTTATGGGGTAACATATTATCTATGTATGTATATATTCTATATTTTTATATCTTATATGTAGAATCGTACATATACAAAGCACATTTTTATTTTTGTTTATTGATTTAGAAAGTAAAATCCCTTTGAAACTGAAGAAAAGTTTTAATTTTTTTTTATTAATTCACCCGTTCACTGCTTTTAAAAAGCCATTCTTCTGGGGAATTCAAATAAGTTAAATTGGTTTTCATGTTTCGGTTTTTCTTTGTATATGTTTGTATATATGATTTAAAATAAGGAACCGACAATTTCATTTCGGTCTTTGTTTATTTTTTATAGATTATTTGACAATGCTTTTTATAGTTTTAACATTTTTTTCCAAAGTTAATAAATTTTAAAACGACTAAATTACGCTATAAAAAATTTTTATAAATTTATTTATGACCAGAAATCATTGATCTATAGTCAAAAGGACATAAAAAACCGAAAATGTAAAACAAAAAAAAAAATATCAAAAATAAAAATGAGAAACTTTTTGAATAATAATTGGAAACTTTATCCTATATTACCGATTTCACATAATTCACATTCAAATGGCTTACAAATAAAGCATTACATACTCATATATTGTGTGTGTGTGTATGTGAATGAGAATATTAATGAGAACAAACCACAGAGTGTATTAAAAATTTTTTTTATAACATTTTTGTCTAATTTCACAGAAACTAGTTTTAGAGCAGTTCAAAACATTGATTGTCATTACAACATTTGCTAGTGCTTCGTACCTCAATTCAAAGTTTCATATATTTTATGAGTACTCGTATAAACAAAATTTAATAATGGAGCTATATTAAATACAAATTAATGTTATTGTGACCAATAACATGGTCACAAAATTTTTATTGTTGCTAAATTATTACTGTTGATAACAAAATCTGATGTGATTAGCACTTAACTGAATGCAATTTATGTTCTCAAGAAAGTTCTATAAAAGATTAAGGAAATACTTATTAAGCATGTCTTTTTAATTTTAAGGACGCTAGTAAGCTCAGCTTGACGCAAGTAATGTCAACATACCTAGAAAAATGTAAATTTGACTATTTGTTGAGTATAGTTTTGTGCTATTTGAATTCCCTGAAAAGTCCTAAATGGAGATTCAGTTTCGGTAACAACTAGAAAAAATTCATCAATTAGTTTCGTAGATATGGTAAAAAGGGTAGAATCGGTCCCCAATTAGATCTCCGAGCCCCAGATCTTTTAAAAAAAATTAAAGGTCCATTGCTTTAACGCTCCGAAATTAAAATATTAAATTTCCAGAAAATTCTTTGATTATTTCCTTTTATATGCACAAAAATATGAAATATGCTTGTTCCATGAAAATCCCATACACACCATATCATCAATCACCATACACAGAATGGCAGATAGAAGGAGCAACATCTCTCTATAAAAACAGTTTATTTACACTTCCCTACCATAGAGAAGTGCGTTCCAACCGAAAACTCTAGATTTTAAATTTAGTGCCATCACATGACCTCCGTTAATGTAAGCAATGTGGTCGGTAAAA